CATACGAGATTTAAAGAACCACTGACAGTCACCAGGTGAGTCTAAGTGGAATGTAAGACATTAAGAAAATGTTACTACTATTTAGCTGAGGGTAATTGTACATTCAATTATACATTCAAAAGTCATTAGGATTCTTAAACCTGCTATATAAAGTTTACATACACAATGCTTAGACCACCTGTAATGCAACAAAAGTCCATTTCTATAAAAATGCCTTTAAAATGTATCAATGCTCAGTATAATAGATATATGCATTAGCGGTTCACTCGCTAACACGCTAATGAGCTAAAGGTGCTAACGCATTGACACTGTGCAGCCCCATGCACAGGGCGATCTGCGCTAACCCATTAACGGAGATTTACCATTAATGCGGTTATGGCGTTAATGTCATTTTAATAAGATTAATGCTGACAACACTAATGCATACATAACTTGGATTTAAGTCTTTAAGTCCTTTGACAAACCAAGTACACCCTATGATTTAATAAAATGGTCTGGCACTGATACGGCACCGTTCTAAATTATTTACGACAATCTATGCTGTGGAGCCATAGTCTAAATTAATCTATCTTGCACTCAGCTGTTATGTTATACTGGATTATCTCAACGACATCTCTGCACTGCCTGCACACAAGAGCTTGCCTGGTGTGATAGACAAAAGCATCCATCTGTCTTGTGCTCAGAGCTAATTCTAAGCACCATTTTTAGGATTCCATGATGGTTCTTCTACTTGCTCCTCTTCTTTTTTACTGCTTCCAAGGTATTCATTAAGCATGTGGTCAGTTGTGGCCATGATATTTAATCCTGGATACTGTCCTGACACTCACTAGTCCTAGGCCTCCTTCCTTCTGCTGAGCATAGTCTCAGGGTGATGGATTTAGGATGAAAACATCCAAGGACTTTTCTTGCCTTGATGGCCTCTAATGTTGTTTTCCACTTTCACATGGAATTCCCGGTGAAGTCTCTTAGTGTCCTAAAGCTCTTGTACATTTCCAGGCATTCCAGAATCCAAGTGCGTCCTGTATGACTGGGATTTTATCTGAATCAGTTTGCAGGTGCATCCGTCTAATCCAAGTTGCCAAGAACTTTTTCTTCTGGAAACAAAGAAGTGTTTTGTTGCTTATCTAGAGTAACTTGTTTTTTAACTATAGTGATTTTGATTAATAAAACAAATAACAAACTTGGGCTGTACCGAATTGGGTCACTACCTGCAATCATTGGAGCCTTGCTACTCATTAGCCATTCGTGACACTTTTCCAGCAATCAGTCATTCTTAATTTGCCCTGCTTGGTTTCATTAAACTTGAATGTCTGCTGCCATATGATATTCAGCTGAGTCATCAACACATTATATTTTTGAAAGACTTAGTCTTAAAGGCCATAGGGGGTGTAACTGTACTCAGTTACCTGTTGAATGTGACATCGTGGTCTCTGGAGTCAAAAGCCCAAAGAACATTCCTGCAATTCACAGAAAGAATTTAAATATGGCTGAAGTCAAATGCAAGAATTTCTTTGAATGGAAAATTATCCTTATTTGTTTACTCTCAAAGCCTACCACGCAGATAATTGTTGTGTCATGCATTGCACCTACTATATTTACTTAAAAATATAACTATGAATAAATTCACAAAAATACGTGGTCATTTATTATTTGATAATCAAATGGTTTACAAAAGCACCATAAAAACAATGAAGCCAGCTTCAGTAAATTTCCGTTGTTTACATGTTGTGATCAGCGACTGGTTGCTCTTTGTAGATTTACACAACTGAATTCAGGAGGTTTCATAGATATCTTGGCTGATTTCCATTACTCTAACAGTATACTGTATAGAAAGACAGTATACAGCTGGCATAAAAGTGGAATTCAGTGAATTCCACTTATGTCCGTAATAATATCTGTAACCATCAAATTAATCTACTACAGTTGATGTAAACCACCACTGACCATGGGCACCACAGTCACTGTTACAATAAATTCACCACAGTACAACAAGCTAAGCTCTTTCCACCCGTACAAACTACCGAGTAGTTTCAGGCAGAATTTGAGTAACACATAGATATTATAGCTGAGTTTGTTTTGCAGGAATAGCTACTATGTGATCAGTTCATTCCAATTCCACTTTATTTATACAGCGCTAATTCACCAAAATAATACATACAGAGAAAAACCCAACAGTCAAAATGATGACGTTACATATAAGGTTTAAATTTGCAGTTTATCAAGCGTCACTCAGCTGTCGTTTCCTGTCTCTCCTATCCTGTCTTTTCTCAAATCTCCCTGTGTACAGCAGCTGGACCTTAAGCTGACAACACATTGTGCAACAAACTACACACAACAGTTTGTGTGTTTGCTAATATTTGTTAAAATGTTACATTTGAAATGACCTGACACTTAAAAAAAAAAGGTGACTCCCTATATGCGCCCTCCTCTTCTGTAGGGTGGGCTAGATTCTGAATTTACAGATACCTGCACTCTTTCTGGCCCACTTTGAGTCCCAAATATAAACATTATAAACAAACCTAAAGTCACAAGTTGATTTTAAAAATACAAGAAGT